TATGGAAATGTGACACTATTTCCTGTGCTGGTCAATGACCGAAATAAATATTTTGAATTTGAATAGTAAACATCTCCCATCAATTGTGGTGTCCAGAAAAGGACACAATATTCCAGGTGTGGTCTGACCAAGATAGTCTGCACAGACTAATACAGTTAGTTGCCCTTTCTTTAATGAACTGCAACAGTCACTGGATAATATTGCTTTAACATTCAAATTAAATCCTATAACACCCAGAAGTCGCCTTACTTGGTGTCGTGGGCGGCCCACGATGGAGGGGAAGACTGCTCGGGGGGCATCATCACCAGCAAAGCCAGCCTTCACCAAGCCAGAGCCGTTGTCACAGACCAAGGCGGTGGTTTCCTCGTCGTCACACATGATGGTGGCTCACTGGGAAAAAGAGTCAGGATCATGTTACAGACTTTTGAAGTTTCTTGGGCTTCCAGTTCCTAAAATGTCCAGTCAACATGCATTGAGTTATGTACTCAAAAAAGTGTATTTTTCCATGGACTGACCCACACAAACATCATTTTTTGCTCTTTTTTTGTCTCGAACATCTTCTCCCATGTCACGAGTGATTGTGGCAAAATAGACACATCGCCTAGTCCAGTGGTTCTCAACCTTCCTAATACCGCAACCCCGTAATACAGCTTCTCATGTGATGACCTCCAACCATAAAATTATTTTCGTTGCTACTTCGTAACTGTAATGTTGCTACTGTTATGAATTGTAATGTAAATATCTGATATAGAATCATAGAATCAAAGAGTTGGAAGAGACCTCATGGGCCATCCAGTCCAACCCCCTGCCAAGAAGCACGAATGTTGCACTCAAATCACCCCTGACAGATGGCCATCCAGCCCCTGTTTAAAAGCTTCCAAAGAAGGAGCCTCCACCACACTCCGGGGCAGAGAGTTCCACTGCTGAACGGCTCTCACAGTGGAATATGCAGGATGTGTTTTCATTCACGGACCAAGTTTGGCACAAACACCCGATACACCCAAATTTGGGGGAAGTGGGGGTTGATTTTGCCATTTGGGAGTTGTAGTTGCTGGGATTTATAGTTCACCTACAATCAAAGAGCATTCTGAACTCCAATGATGGAATTGAACCAAACTTGGCACACGGAACTCCCACAACCAACAGAAAATACTGGAAAGGTTTAGTGGAGATTGACTTTGAGTTTTGGAGTTCAGACAGTACGGTAGACTCAAACAGTGATGGATCTGGACCAAATTTGGCACAAATACTCTATATACTCTATATTAGAGTTGTAGTTCACCTTCATCCAGAGAGCACTGTGGACTCAAACAGTGATGGATCTGGGCCAAAAACTTGCCACAAATACTCTATATGGCCAAATGTGAACACTGGTGGGATTGGGGGGAAATAGATCTTGACATTTGGGATTTTTAGTTCGCCTGTTAAGGGCTGAAAAATGCGGTATAGAAATAAAGCAAATAAATAAATAAATAATAGTTCATCCGCAATCAAAGAGCATTCTGAACTCTACCAACGATGGAATTGAACAAAACTTGGCACAAAGAACTCCCATGACCAACAGAAACAATGAAAAGACTTAGTGGACATTGACTTAAGTTTTGGAGTTGTAGTTCACCTTCATCTAGAGAGCACTGTGTACTCAAACAATGATTGTTTGTGCCAATTTTGGTCCAGATCCATCCTTGGCACGAATACTCATTATGCCCAACCTTGGCACACAGAACTCTCATGACCAACAGAAACACTGGAAAGGTTTAGTGGACATTGGCTTTAAGTTTTGGAGTTGTAGTTCACCTTCATCCAGAGAGCACTGTGGACTCAAAAAATGATGGATCTGGACCAAACTTGGCACGAATACTCAATATTCCCAATATTTATACATGGCTATCATGTCTCCTCTCAGCCTTCTCTTCTGAAGGCTAAACATGCCCAGCTCTTTAAG